CTCATATTAATCATGAAAGTTTGCTGAAAAACTACACATTGTCCGGAGATACATCTCCGAAAAGTATGTATATGAACTTTTCTTGAGATACATCTCCGAAATGTTTCTGTGTTCATTTTCCAACCCCTTCTGCAGCAATAGATTAATTAATATTTTGTTACTGTTTGTATTGTTTCTAATAGATATGGTGTACCTTGATATTTTTCGAAAACAAGTAGTTTCTCCGAACGATGTTTCTCAGAATGCTCAAGGAGTTGTCGTGAAGGTAATAGATGTTGGCAACGACTTTAATAATAAGAAAGAGTTTGAAAATCATGATAACATGCTCAAATGGATTTGTATGGAGGCATTTAGACTTGGATTTGGTGTAGTTATCGGAAGGTCGGATAATGACTCGAATAGAAGAAGTGCTTTTGTGACTATGTTGTGCGAAAGAAGCAGGAGCAATCAAAATCTTGTTCGAAATTTAAATAAAGACGACACAGGTAGTAGAAAATGTGATTGTCCATTTAAGCTTCATAGTTACATGTTAGATAACAAAAAATGGATATTTAATGTCATTTGTGGTTTGCATAACCATGAATTGTGCTTAAAATTAGCCGGGAATCCTAGTGTATGTCGGCTCAAGTCAGAAGAGATGGAATGTATTAGTGACATGACCTTGAATCTTGTCCAACTGAAAAAATATACTTGCAACATTAAAACGGAAGCAAACTGGAAATATATCAAATGTCAAGCAAGTGTAAAACATTTGGTACCTTACTAACAAGACAATTAGGGGGTAGAACTGAGATGCAACAACTGTTGAAACTGTTGGAAGATAACAGTTACATGTCCTGATATTGAACTTGCGATGATGGAGTTACGGTTAGAGATACTTTTTGGACTCATTCGGATTCGATAAAGTTGTTCAACACGTTTCCGAAAGTGCTCATACTTGATTATACCTACAAGACCAATAAGTATAGACTTCTATTATTTGAGATGGTTGTAGTTATCTCAACTGAGAAGACATATTCTGTTGGTTTTTCATTTTTAGAGTGTGAAAAATAGGACAATTTTACTTGGGCATTAGAGGTGTGTCGGTCATTTTTGAAGGATCAAAGTGAGATGCCTAAACTTATTGTTACGAACTGTGATACTGCATTGATGAATGCGGTTGCAAAGGTATTTTCTTCTTCTTATGCATTACTTTGTAAGTATCATATAATAAAGAATGTGAGGAGTCGGGTTAAACCCACGGTAGGGACGAAACAAGTAGAGTGCAAAGGTGGAAAATTGGTGAAGTCAGGTGTAATTATGGAAAAAATAATGGATGCATGAAATCGTATAATAAATTCTTCCACAAAAGAATTATATGTCGATTCCGTCATTCATTTCCAAAAAGTGTGTGAAAAGTATCCTGCTTTGTTGAAATATGTTGAAAGCACCATTCTTGATCAGATGAAGGAGAAGATAGTTTGTGTGTGAACTGATAATGTCCGACACCTTGAAAATAAAACCACCAACAGAGTTGAGTCGGCCCGTGCTACTTTGAAAAATTGGTTGGGAAATAACAAGGGGGATTTGTGTCGAGACTGGGACTCCGTGAACCACATGATTCAAAACCACTATATTGAGATACAAATAACATTTGGTTGGAGCATCAAAGTTTTTGAACACCGATTTAAAGACAACAATCTTTCTTCTCATTTGGTCGGTAACATTTTTAGGTCCGAGTTGAACTATATTTTTCACGAGGCTAAACAAGCTAATAATATAGGCTCCAATAGTGCAAAGTGTGGTTGCACTATTGTGAAAATATATGGTCTCCCATGTGGTTGTGTTACTGCTAAAAAGGTGAAACTTGGTGAACCAATAAAAATGGACGAGGTTTGCTCTCATTAGAAAAGACTTAGTTTCGATGATGATGGATGCATGGATGAAGGTAAATCAAACATCTCTATTTTGAGCGAATGGGAAGCGATACAAGAGAGATTTTCGAAGGTCAATGACAACATGAAACTCCACATCAAAGAACAATTAAGGAGGATTTCCTATCTCGAAACCACCGACATGAAACCGCCTTTTTAACCGATAAAAAAAAGGTGCTCCGAAGAAAATACAGCCTACACCAAATGGCAACTTGACTACACGGTCTCCTTCATACTTTGAACACATTGACAAAGTTTTTTCCCGACTCACCGACTCCAAAATCTCAAAAGAGTGTTGTGAAAGGAGCTCGCATTAGCAAACCACCTCCAACGCTGCTTCCACCGAAGATTCCATTCATTGACGAGATGTCAGTTTTTATGCACAAATATATCGATCGTATCGTATTGATCTCAATATAAATGAAGTGTTACATATTCACTTTTTATTCATATTTATTCTTTATGCATATTTGGTTCATATTTTCTCTTTGTGAACTCTCTGTCATTTGCTTCTGTTTTGAAAATGTTTCAAGAAAAATTCCGAAGATACATCTCTAGAAGCTTCCCTTAAATGGTTGTTTTTGAAATGGTCCAGAGAAAGTTCTGGAGATGCATATCCAGAAAATGATAATAGGGTGCGTTTCTGGAGATATATTTTCGAAATCAATATAATAAACAATAGGTGGTCCATATTAAACTAGGTTTTCTTGTGCTAAATTTCACACGAACTAAAAAATGTCTCAAATGTCACAAATAAATATTTGTTGGTATGCCACAAATGTCTCTTACTCGGACAGCAAAACACCCGAGAGGACGTTTAAACTCACCGATCTCACCCCTATCGAAGATATCCTAGACGAAATTCATTATCTCCTACCTTACGGAGACAACTAAGGGAACATTGTGTTCAACAAATTTAAGCTCAAGACTCGAGCGGATGTTAGGGCTGTGTGGAATACATATTTTAGTTTCGAAGAGAAAGTTTCGCTCGAGTTAGAAGCGACGCTACGAATATCGGTCGAAGATATCTTGGAGATGTGCAAGCGTCCACCGGAATATTGAAATGTAGTATTTAATTTTCTATTGAAATTATCATTGTAATGTTCATTTTATGTTATGAAAGCTCATTTTATGTTTGAAAATTTCATTTTGTGTTGAATCTGTATCCGGTGTTTTTCCAGAAATTTAACTACAGAATTGTTTCGGAAATACATCTTCAAAACTAATCAACCTCAATATATGGGACGCCACTCATAATGACCTTTGTTGAGACTACAAATAATACGTCCAAAAATATATCTTCGAAAAATGAGAGCATAATAAAAAATACACATATGCGTATGCGGCGGAAAAAAATCCTCCAAATTTATATACATAATAACTTCTTCGTATTAACTTTTATTTATTGATTTATAAGTATTAATAACTTATTTAATTTAAAAGATATTGCTGAAAATGATAACTGATTTATAAATCAACGTCTCATAGTATCTAACTCAAATTACTTTTAACAATTATGGATATAAGTGTCACGTCTCCTTACATATTCATAATAAGAATAAGAAAGAGAAACATCAAATATAAAATGAAATAATCAGTATGCATTTAAAAATATTTATAATTTTAATTACAACCATTCATAAGTGATATTTTAAATATAATTAAAGAACAAACACATAACATTTTAATGGTTATAATTAATCGACCGTTTATAGTTGTGATTAATGAAAAAGTCAAACACATAACATTTTAACTATTACAATTAATCGACAATATAAAACTTCTTTACACTGTCACAAATATTAATATCAATTTATGCATATAATAACTTCTTAGTTCGATATTAAAGTATTAGAGGTTGATATTAAAGTATTAGAGGTGAAAATTCAAAAAGGTATGTAATGATTCATTAATTATAATTAACTCGTTGACATAATTGTTTTTTGAGTGGTTAGATAAAAAAAAAACAGAGATTGAAAATATTTAGTTGTTGATTTATTAAAAAAATAATTGAAATTAATGTTTGATTTTTTTTAAATCACTAATTTACAAATATCAACAATTCATTTTAGAATATTATGAAATATACCGAACTCTAAATCAATACCTTATATATATTTAGCACAAATTAGTTGAGGTCAAATTAATGCTTAGTTATATTGAGTATGTTTTGTATTTTGAATATTATTAGAAAGATAAAACAAATTATTTTTATTTATATATTATTTGATTAGGTGAAAAAGAATTTAACACAGCATAATTTCAAAGTGAAATTATAATTTTAAATGGTATAAAATTATAAATGCATAATTTTCCATTTATAATTGTTTTAAATGGTATGAAACTATAAATATGTAATTTTCTATATATCATTTTTTTTATCATAGTATAAAGATGATTATTATTACAAAACCAATATTTGAACATTTAATCGGTTAGCATACTAACTGAACGTCTAATCCAGCTTTGATAAGATTGATTTAACTAAGTAATAATTAATTAAATTATCATCAATTAATTAACCTTAGTTTGACTCAACGACAAAATCAAGACGATAAACAAGGGATTTATGTCTTCTCATTTTGAAATAAGACATGAGGGGACTATACCTATGTTAATAATCTCACCAGTAAGACTTATTAAATTTCACTTCTTTTAGTTAAGTAGAACTTAAATTTTAGTGATGAGATCACCAACAAAACACTCGTGTTAGATTGTAACACAAGAAAATCAATCCAAAAAATATGGGACAAAGGGAAGAGTTATTTATTGAAATGTGTAATAACCAGCAAGAGAAAAAAAGAGCTACTTTGATTAAAATTGAAAGCCATATAGAAACCAGATACAGATAAAAATATGGTGATGGCAAACCATAAAAGGTGTAATGAATTACAGCAATCATAAAACCAAAGATGCTTTTTCCAGCTAAATCTAAAGTGAACAAAACCTTGCCCAAATCAGTTTCATGAAGAAAAAAACATAAATGCTGTATCATGAACCACATCATACTATCAACACAGTATTCTAATAACATAACTGCACTATCAAGGCACCATTTAGCAAGAATGAAAGTAACAGCCATTGCTATTATGCTTGGTTGTCGCCACTCCGACCACGGCCGCCAATTCTTCCCCTACCACGGCCATATCCCCTGCCTCCACCTCTGCCTCTTTCATAACCCATACCTCCACCTCTGCCTCCTTCATAACCCATACCTCCACCTCTGCCTCCTACATAACCCATTCCTCCCCCTCTGCCGCCTACATAACCTCCTCCCCTGCCGCCTTCATATCCTCCACCCCTGCCGCCTTCATATCCTCCGCCCCTGCCGCCTTCATATCCTCCGCCCCTGCCGCTGTCATAACCTCCCCCCCTGCCGCCTTCATATCCTCCGCCCCTGCCGCCTTCATATCCTCCGCCCCTGCCGCCGTCATAACCTCCGCCCCTGCCGCCGTCATAACCTCCGCCCCTGCCACCGTCATAACCTCCGCCTCTTCCGCCTTCATAACCTCCGCCTCTTCCGCCACCATAACCAGTACCTATTATGGAATGCAACATTTAAAGAACAGGTTTTTATCAGATTAAACATGCATCACCTTCATAAATACATAAAGTTTCCTACATTTGATTGACAAATGCATCTCCTTCATAACTTTCATAACACCAGAGAAAAATGTAGAAATATACAAGGCTAATAGCAAAAAGCATTTTCTTAGAACTCCTTTTTAGTTATAAAATTGAGATGATAAACAGAAAAAGAAAAGCATACACTCAGGAAATCAGCCCTTGAAAGAGATAAAGAAAACCCCTGCAACATTCAATAATATCTATCGTCACATAAAACCGGGGAAAATATGCAATAAACTAAACTTACCACGATACCCCCAACCTCTGCCTCGACCTCCACCTCGGCCACGATTAGAATACCCACCATTATCTGTCAAGAACCAAGCACAGCCAAAGTACTAATTTATAAACTTTGCAAAAAGTAGACTTCGACTACCAAAGTACTTAAGTTGAACACCAGCTTTCGGAATCCATACCTTGATAATTTGCATATCCACCTTGGTAATAGTCATAACCGCCTTGATAATTTCCATAACCACCTTGATAATTTCCATAACCACCCCTTCCCCAATTCCTTCCTCTTCCTCTTCCCCTACCTCGACCACGACCTCGGCCATACGAATCTATAAGAAGATGCACTTAAAGTTAGGATGTGTATATTCAACAACATATTATTTTAATGAATAGTTAATATAGTTATAGCATGTAACCTTCATTTACAGCATTATAAGAATCTTGTGCTGGTTTCATAGGTTGCTGCTGATGATTAGAGTGTGGCTTTGGTTGTTCCACATTAGATGGAGATTGATAGCTAAATATGAAATCATGTAGACATTTCAAATAAATCAAACAATCCAGAAGGCGATTCAAAATATAACCCTTCAAATTTTACCCCTAAATGCTATTATAACAAGCAAATACTTCAATTGAATAAAAAGAAAGGAAATATGATCATGAAAGTAGTTAAGGAACTCACCCAGGGGAATTTGTGTCTAATTCTCTGGTTGATAAGGTGATTGAGATCATAGAGACATGTCGAGTCATTTCCACACTGCATTAAATGTTGAGGTTCAACAACTTGGCCACCCAAATAGAAAAAAGATGATAAAACACACAGAATGTTACAATTTCAAACAAAACTTACGGTACAAGACCCTCTTCAATGGGCTCCCACACATCTGTTATGCTAACTGAGCTGATGGCAGTATCTTGGTGCAAATGGGCAATCCTCTTCTGTTTAAGGAGATTTAAAGCAAATCACAGAAAATCAAAATGAATTCTGAGGTAAACGTATTATCCAGATGCTGAATTCTTATTCTAAGTTTCTAACTTTTCGCAACCTTGTTTTAGATTTATTGACCGGTGAACTTTTTAATTGTTCTCTAACTTACCAGAAAAGTATGCTAGACTATCATTTGAAGAATTTTAAAGAACATATAAGGAGCAAGAAAATAACATCTTGCAAAGAAATGACCTTCAGAATCTCTGAAATGGCAACTGTCTTGCTGATTGCTTGTCCCATTGCCTTCAAGACAATCTCTTTAGCCTGCTTTTCCTGGATGAAATACATAATACAATTATAAGATGACATAGACCAGCAAATAGGTTCTTATGCATGTGCCACTTAACAGTATTTGAATGATTTTATGCATGTTTCAAATAAATAAATTATATTAAGCCAAAGAAAGAAGCAACTTAAAAACCATTGGACAATAACTTCAAGTAAATGAGATAGGAGAGACAAAATGATATTAAATAATGAGAAACTCAAGTGATTTGAAACATTGCAGTCAAAATGAAATATACAATAAAAAGTGGTATTTAATGTACTTGCAAAAACATGTAAAAATGCATAAAATATGAAAGGAACAAAAAATATATATTAATTCATGTTAATGAGAATAATATCACATATGATACATAACGGTATATAGAAACCTGAGATTAATCGCATGTTTCACAAAAGTCACAACTTTTGGCGTTCAAAAACCAAATATTATTTAATCAGGGTCATACGATTTGGAAAATTTTGGAAGAAAATATTAAAATTATAAAACTTGGAGGACAGAATCGTAGTCAAAAGAAGAAGGATACAGCCTCAATCTCAAGAACAATAGAAGAATGGCAAGAAAATATATATTCCTCTTGAGCCTACTGAACTGCCCACTGAGAAAATGAAAAAAAAAAAGCACACTAAAATCATATTTTTCTTCATCAATCAGGTGACAGAATCTGCTGTAACCAATGCAAAAGTAAAAAATGTTTTGGTTCTTGTAAAATGTTCAATTCCCAGTACCTACAACACGCTTATCATTCTAATATGTTCCCGATTAACTTCTGATTAGATTTGATACATTTGTTTGTTTGATAGCATTGCATGATTTGAATCAGAAATGTATGATTTTTATTACAATTGTCCAAATCTTAGGGCTAACTATTGTAAAGGTCAACAGAGGCCCAGCATAAAAGGTGGTTCAAATAAGAGATACCAACAAAACAAAAATGGGTAGAAATGAAATATAATAGAAAAAAGTTGGAAGAAACCATTAAAAATATCTTACTAATATTTGATCATTTGCAAATTAGGTTCTAATAGAGCTCGAGGGTGCTGTTTGATAATAAGCATACTAACCCTTCCAGGTGTTAGTTTAGTAGTTGTTGTCAATCCAAATTTTGTTACATAAAAACATCCTGACTAACAAAAACCTACTTATAGTCATATACTACACAGTACAAATGGAGAGGAGGTGAAAAGATACAAGGGTGCCACAGACATTGAATTAAATTTGCACTTTATATCCTAACAAATGTTTCAAATGATATTTACTTCTCTAACTCTGTCTAATATAAATATCTCTCTTAAGCATCTGCTTTGTACAATGCTGCTGCTGGAACAATAATCAATTAGGTGCTAATTTTAGATCGGCTTATTAGAACCAAAGTATTAATAAAAACATAAACCAACACTAGTATACTTCTCAAGACAATTATTTCTTTTTCTGCGTACTTCTACAAGATGAATTCCTAATTTTTAACATCTCCAATTTCCTACTGCTCAAGAATATTCTAGGTACGTAGCTTCTTTTTACAGCCACCAATACTTCAAAACCAGTCTCCTAAAACACTCCATTACCTAGCACATTGCTTATACAGAAAGCTCTTAATACTGCTACATTTTTGTCAAATAACCAGTAAGAAAAAATGCCAATTACAAAATCCTAGTAATCATCCACAGCATTGCATTCAATATGATTTCCCTGTTGCATTGTTTACAGGATTAATGCAATACCCAACATAAATGAAACCGGTGTAAATTCCAAAAAGTTACCAGAACACACATACGCCAAACTTAAATAATCCAGAAACACCTACAAGCTTCAAAGAGATTCCACAACTAAGAAAACAGAGAAAATCAGAAAATGGACCATCAATGGTGGTTATTCATTATTAATCCCATTCAATCAATTCAACAAACAGTATACATACCTCTACCATGTTCTTAACAAAATCAACAAAGACCACTCCAACACACAAAAACAACTTCAATTAAGAACCAACAAACTCGGCATTTCATCAACCAACATCAACAACTTCCAACATTCCAAAAACACCACACGACAAACAACTAAAACAACCACAATCGGCACAAAACAAACACAACCACAACCAAAAACAACAAAACGATACATCAATAGGTTACGCTACTCTACAACAATCGAATCAAAGCATGCAACGAATCTAAGAAACAAAGATCAATTAAAGCGAGTGGAGGACCTGAAGAAGTGAAGTGGCGTAAGTGATGTAGTTTCGAATGGCGCCTTGAGTGGTGATTCGGATCTCATTTTCGTTGATGGGAGAGTCTGGTTTGGGTTTTTGGACCTTCTGGTACCTATCCATTGATAATCGAGAAGTGGAGAGAGAAAGAGGTAGAGAGAGAATGGGGTGAATGAAACCCTAACCTTATAAACCCTAGAAAAGGAAGGGAAGAGAAAAGAGATGGAAAGGGTAAAGTGTTTCCTAAAACCTCAGCCTCGTCTGTTTTGTTTTGTTGTGCTTTTTTTTAAGCATTTATGTTAGCTATTCCTTCGAGGATTTGGGAGTTGTTTGGATTACGCAGAAGTTATTACGATTTACAAACGTGCGTTTGCACTTCCACGCACCATTGCTTAAATCCCGTTTGAGCTTTTTTTTCTCATTATTTTTGTCTCCTTTTATTAATCTTATTCGAAGATTGAATTTAAGTCTAAAAATTATGTTTGAATTCAAAAATTAGAAATCTTTTAGTTTCAAATAAAATTTGATATAAAGACATGGTGGACTCTATTTTAATCAAATAGATTACAATTGGTTCAAAATTAATTATGTATCTTTAAAATTGTCTTTGATTCTTTTAAAATGAAAGTCAAACATAGAATAAAAGTATATTTTACATCGAGACAATATCGGTGCAGAATGTTGGTATTATTTAACATTGGTTAGAGTTTCAGCAGGGTCAATTGTCAAATTTCATTCACTTACATGGGGTGTATGATATTTAAAGAAAAATCAAGGTTTTCCCACTTCTGAAGGATAGCGCATAAAGTTAGGGCTAAGTTGATCTCATGGAAAGGAGAGATATTGTCTATTATGAGAAGAGTGTAGGTAATAAAGTATGTCTTCCAAAACATGTTGGTATACTTTTTCCGTATTTATAGATGGCCATACAAGATTTTGATTCAGTTGGATATGTGGTTTCAAAATTTTATTTGGAGCGAAGATGTCTTAACTTGAAATATGTGTATTGTTGTTTAGAATAGGGTTTGTAAGCCATTGAAGAAAGGTGCGTTATTAGATCAGCAAAGCAAATTAATGAGGCGTTGATTTTGAATCTTACCAGGAGGTTTAGCTCATCCAATGAAGAATGGGTGAATGTTTGTATGGTTAGATTCTTACCTAATAATCAATTATAGCATTATTACATTAAGTTTTTCATTTGGTCAAGCATTAAGCATCATTTTAATACGGTTTGGGAAGGGATTAGATGGGTGATCGATAATGAAGAAAAAATTAACTTCTGGAATGATAATTTGCTAGACGAGTCACTCAGTGAGATTATGGATATTCCAATACATCCTAGAGTTAGGCTTTACACGAAGGTGGACAACATAACGCATGAGGACAGGTGGGATTCACCGCCTTTCATATCATGAGAATACTTAGAGATTGCTTTGCGTACTACTCTGAGCTGTATACCTAGGGATAATCTTCATGATATTCTAGTTTGGAAATACAAGGAACAATGGTATCATGTCAGTGAGAAGGCACATAACTACCTGGTTGATGTCACGGTGCAAAAAATACTCGAGCGCATCGTACGCTCGAAGATATAACAGAGTCGCCAGTGAACTTTATTTATTCATGAAGAAAAGGGAAAATATCGATAAAACCCTTGGGAAAGAGAACGTTAAGGGAGTCGGTTATACGAGGGAATGTATTAGCATCTCTCACATCCGCTGTACTCAACTAGAATTGTTTTGATTGTTCTTTGCACTGATATGTGTTACTATCTAAAAGTTACTTGCGAAAGGGGAAAATAATTTTAAATTAATGTGTTTGCAAAGGATTCGAACTCTCGTGCCTACATATTCTCATAGTGTGATAAGTGCTAAATTGTACTAATTTTAAGTGCGAATAATTGGCACTTATTGGCTTGATTCGTTGGTTTTCCATTAATAATCCTCCGTTTTTGTGTAATTTTTGTATAGTTTATATATTGTTGTGTACATTGCATTTTTATGTACATATTAGTGAGTTTGATAATTTTCATTTGTTTTTATAGGTAATAATGCATGGTTGAAGTATGAACCCATTGAGGCAAGAAGGATGCTTCAAAATGCAGTTTTGACCAACAAAATGCTAGCATTCGCGCTTAGAACTTTTAGCGCACGGGGAACTAGATGGCAGTAGCTGAAGTATTTTTGTTTTCTAGTGGGAGCATGACCTCACTTAGCGCGCTTTAAGGGTACTTTGAGTGAGATTGTGCTTAGTGCGACTTGAGGGTCCTTAGCGCGGTTGTAATAAATACCATTTTTTTAATATTAGTTTATCTCATTTTTGTAGGTATTCAAGCAAGGATATTTTGTCATTATCATATAGAGCATTGAATAAGCTTTCCAACCCTTCTAACTGTGCGTCAATTGGAGTTACGGTTCGAAAGTTATGAAGAAAACAAGAAAATTGATTTTGTTGATGGTGTTAAGCGCCCTCATAGCGCGGTTCGCGTGTTTCAACCCCTATTTAAGTCATTTTTTCAGCATTTTTTAGTTTATGTTGTTGGGAACTTTTAACCTCAACTTCATCAAACACATTCTTTAGTAGTTTTAACTCAAAAACAACACTTGGAGGATGCATCTTGACGATCCGGAGTCGAATCCACTTCAATCGGAGTTGACAAACCGTGAGATTTCTGTTTTTCTTCCTTCCTATTTATGTATTTTTCATTTGTTGGGGTTTTATATGTAAGTTTATCTTGATTGTATGTGTATTAATGGGTTTTATTCCTTGATTTAATCTCTTTTACAACTCTTAGTTGATATCATCTTTGATTTAATCTTTATCTTAATGGGTTTTATTCGCTATAGACATATACTTTTTGAACTCGATCTAAGATGAACGTCTATTGGTTGTAGGAAGCAGTCTAATGTTCACATGTGTGTGTCATATCTTAATTCTCTGTGTTATTTTGTTGCATGAGTCATCCCCCCCGAGAGAATGCGGTTGATCTCTCAATGTTTGCGTTAGACATAACCTCTTGTTGTATGCGATATGTGGGGATTTTGACGAGTGATTTAGGTTGCGTGCATTTGATCAGTAGATTTTTTATTACATGATGGTGAAGGTGAGAAAAACACTTAGAAGGGGGGGTGAATAAGGGTTTAGAAAATATTATGGCAATAAAAACACAATGATTTTTATCCTGGTTCGTTGAACTCAACTAATCCAGTCCACCCTATCAAAAGTGATTTGCCTTTCTCCACAAGGACTTAATCCACTATAGTCAAACTGATTACAGTGTCAAACACTAAGAACAACTGTTTAGTCTTCTCAAGAACTACTGACCACAACTTGGTCTTCTTAAGGAACTTTTACAATCAAATGTAAACTAAACAAGTGTTTAAAATGCTTCTATGAAAGCTATATCACAACTGTGATTTATACAGTTAAGATTAAGAATGAATGAAATTAATCAACAAAGAAATATAATTTGTATGGGAGCTTTGAGAGAGTTTTCAATAGATTCGTCAATATTCATCCACTGTAGAAAGTTGTTGAAGGCTTGCTTTTATAGACAAAGACGTCCAAGATGTAGCAAGCTTAAAGACCGTGTATTACAAAGTAGTTGTAGCCTTTTGTCTTCACATGACTTGACCTTTCCTAGAAGTAGAATGTTCAGAGAAATCCTTTTTGCCTGAGTTCTTGTTGCTAGCATAAAAGAGGAAAGAGTCGTTTGGAATATGCCAACGGATATATCTTTGAATAATCTTCTTCAACAAGCTTCTATTTCACATCAATCAACATCAGAACCTTGGGTGATCAGAGTCTTGATGTTATCATAGTTTGTTGTATCAGAGTGTTGCAGCAAGTGTGCTTCAGCGTGAGTAACAATCAGAGCAGAGTTTGGAGATCAGATCATCAGTACTTGCAGCAAACAGTACTATCAGAGTCTTCTGAAAAACAATGCTTGAAACTCTTCATACAAAGTCTTCAGCTACGCTTTAGATGCTTTTGTAGCTTCTGCTTCAGAGTCTTCTGTAGGCAGCGCTCAGAGTCTTCTAACGAGATAATTCTGACGCTCAGAGCCTTGCGTAGTTCAATGTTCAGATTCATTTTTGCTTTCAGAAGAATATTAAATTTAATATCTGCAACAAAAATACTTGAACAAATTTAGAGTATATAATTTCTTAATATAAAATTTCATTAGTGTTATCATCAAAACATAGAGATATAACTAAGAACCAATCTGTGTTCTAACAATCTCCCCCTTTTTGATGATGAGAAAAACATAGGAAATTTTATTCAATAAAGAGATAAATATAACTCCCCCTAAGATTATGAATCTCCCCCTAAATTGAATACTAAGAAAGAATAGAAACTTCCATTTTTGCATGAGTATTCTTTTTAGAATCAGAGCTTGATTTGGATGAACGTTTCAGAATCAGAGTCTAATTGGTTAAAACTTGATTTGGGGATCTCAGAGTTACTTTAATGAATTTTGTCAGATTTATCATTATAGTTCTGAAAGACTAAAAATTCATGTTAGTTATGATTTGATATGTCTGAATTCCATTCAGGTAAAGTTTATTTGAATAATCAGAATTTCATGTTCTCCCCCTTTTTGTCATTATCAAAAAGAAACTTTTTAAAGACAAATAAAAGGAAACAGAAAGAAAATATATAATCATATAAAGAAAACATTCATAGATTCATTCATTAAAATATTCAGATAGACAAGACATCAGATGAGAAATGCAAACAAGTGCTCAAACATCAGATAAAAAGCATAAAGCTAAGATTGTTTAGAGAGAAGCATCTTCAGAAGGTATGTGATCTCAGAAGAAGATTCTTCTTGCTTGGACATCCATATTGACACGCCCAGTTAGACGAGAAACTCCATCAGTTTCTTCATATCCTATGAGTTTCCTTATAAGATCCTCAGTAATCACAATTTCTTTTCCCAGAACAGATGACGCAATGAACTTGGGAAATGCATTAGCATGAATCCAAAATTCTTTTACCAAAACTGGATAAACTGGCCCAAACAGTCTATCAAAATACTTTGTCCATCCTTGAGCATCAATGATAGAACGCAGATTAAATCCATTTGCAGCCAATGAAGCAAAATCCACCAAGGATTCACA